AAATGGAAGACTTCTCCCTAGCTTGCTCCCATGGCTGTATGGCTGAGAGCAAGTGAAACTTGGGGGCATCCAAACCCCAAGCCTCAGGCTTGGGCCTGCATGTAGAATGCCTGCCAAATGATTTGGAAACATCTAAAGCCCCAAGTGTGGGTGGAGGATGTTTGCCAGTAGTAGGGCCACATATGTTTCTTGAATGACTCACAGGTTTGGAATTGATTTGGCTGATTTGGCTTAGAACATGAACAATTTTACATACAGATATATACAGAGAGAGAGAGAATAATCTTTTTTAGTAATTTATATTAATATACATAAAAGTACTGCTTAAAGGTATGTTTATGGAGTACCTGTGCTAAAACATTTTGCAAAAACAGTTGCAAAAAAGGTCAAATGCACAGTTTCTGGATGAATTAAATTACTACAGCTCTGTTTATTTCAAGGTGAGTGTTTTCAAACTTGCCCCTCATTTCCATGTGCTCAGGAGCATCAGGGTCTGTCAGTAAGAGGGGGTGGAAGGGGCTGTAGGGGGAAGAAGTTGGTAGGGGCAGAGTGCAAATGGGTTACCTGATCCCCACAGATTTTTTTTCCTGTTGTAGCAGTGACAGGGGACAATTTCAAGGTAAACCTCCAATAATTAGATTCTATACCTGGAAAATCATAACAAATTTATAAATTGTCCATATATAGAATCTAACTGGGGCTTTGTCTTATATTCAGGGTCATCTTGCATTTGAGTAGATGTGGTAATTATACAGGGAGGGGTGGGATAGAGACAGTCTCTGTTGTACTCCACTGATTCAGGTGCTGAACTTCCAGTAAAAAATTCCCTTCAGAGACAGGTACACCCTATTATCATAAAGCTGCCCAAACCATCTCTTTGCCCTTCCCTTTTCAAGCAGTATAGGGGAAAGCCAGGACAAAAAGGGATGGTTGATGGTAGAGCAGAGTTCCACAATGCTGAACCATCAGTGACATAAAGTCTCTTAAGGAACTTAAGCCAAAAACATAATTAGAGCAGCCTCTAAATTGCTTTGTCACCTCACTATTGGGGCAACAAAAAGTCTCTCTGCTTCCTTATTCTGAGACCTTGAGCACAGTGGACACAGAATAATGGTTAAAGCTATGCATCCCCACCTGAATTAGCCATTGTTAAAAACTCTCCCCTGGACTGTCCAGGATGGAAACTGGAGGTGTGTAGCTCAGACCTGAACTGAGGCTTTTTGCTTTACACCTGTAATATATAGGTGCTGATTCTCCTGAAGTGAAGAAGGTTAGTTTCATTTTTCATTGATCATTCTCAAGAAAAGTGCATGTTTCAAACACAGTGCCTGTAAAAGGGCCAAGGAAGGCCTCCTTTGACTTATTTTAAGCTAAAATATTTCAGAAGTTGCCTTTATGTTGCAACCATCTAACAGACTGACTGACCTCATTCTGAGGAAGGATGCTGTCAGGCTAAATACATGCACAAATTCTACATGCTGTCAAGTGGGCCCTGGATCGGAAAGATTATTTTAAACTGAACAGAACAAGAGCTTGTGGGAAAATTAATGAATTGTTACAGCCTCTTGTGTTTAAAAAAACATTGTAAGTGTTTTGGCCAAAGCAGGCATCTGCTATTCACAGGCACTTTCTCCCAGGATCTTTCTTCAAATCTTAAGTCTTCATTCATAGAGTGGTGCTATCTGATCAAAGAATCAATCACTTGCAGAGTGACAAGAAATCTGAAATCTTAAAAACATTGTTTTTTCTCAAGGGGACTTTTAAGACTCCTTTTATCCTTCAGAGATTTATTAGAGCCAAAAGTTGCCAAGTCTCTGGCCAACAGCACCAGTTTTTTTTTGCAATTCCTGGGAAGGAAATGTTAGTAATTCAAACTGATAAATGACCCAAACGAGCTGCATAACTCTTCAACTGCTCAGAAAGAATTAAGACTCATTAAAAGGACAACTAGCCACAAGAAAGCACAACAGAAAAACTGTATTCAGAAGACATGAAGCTGTTTAAGAAAGAAATCCTACTTACTGGATGGATCTGGACAGAAGAGTAAGAGGGGCAGGAATGGACAAGGCAGACTACTAACAGGTAGAATAACCACCCCCAAGGTCATGTTGCTCAGTTGCTTTTTTTCTTCCATGTTAAAGAAGTGAACTCAGGCATGAACTTGCTTTGGGATTTGAAAGAACCCACATCTAAACACTTTCACTGAATGAAAGCCTGTCCAAAAACCCTGGATCTCTCTCCCCACTCTCCCAAAAGTCATCAATCTGAGGTCAAATCCAAAAACACTGAGATTCCCTGGAAAGGGACTGATGGATGAAAGTGCTAATTTCAGAGGAAAGATAATAAATCAGACTGGAGTGAGCCTTAGCTTTTCTTGTGGTTCTGTTTATTGTCTGAATCAGCCATATCTTACTTGAATTATTTGTATCAGAGTGGGGGGGGGGAAGCTGCCTGATACCTGTGTAGTTTCACTTACAGCTGTTTCTCCTTGCTTCCTAGCCATTTCTTAAGCAGGTCTCTTCAGAAAGCTCACATCCACTATCTAAAATAAATAATGCTATAAGCGTTCTTGAAATGTTGCATATTAGAAATTATGAATCACAGGACAGAAGCAGCTTCCGGGGGGGATATTTGCTTTTTGAATAGCAATTCCTATGACATCTTTGTATATAGACCTGAAAGAGGCAGCACATTCCTGTGAACTGGGCATGGGATTGGGAGCCAAAACACAAAACAAAAACCCTACAACCTTCTGTTCTAATACTTATTCTGCCAGTGGCTCACTGTCTGACCTTGGATAAGGCACGAAAGTCTGTATTTTTGTGCCAGCTAATTTTGCATGCCTGAGTGTTTAGATCCCCACCTGGAGAGATGTTGCAATTATTCCAGTAACTGTGGAGCACCCTAGTAACAAATAAAGTCAGTGGAAGCTGTGGGTGCTCAGTGTCTGAAAAAAAACAGGCTTTGAACCTGAAATTCATCCATGCTTAAGCTAACTTCAATCGAATTACACCCAGGATTAATCACTGGGTGCGTCTACAATTATCCCTAGGGTGGCCATTCGTCCGGTTTCATAGAAGACAGTTCGGTTTTCTGGTCCTCTGTCCTCTACTGATACGAAACCGGACACCGTTACGTTCTATATTTTTCACCGCTCTGCACCCCTCCCCTCCCAACACCACTGCAGCTGCCTGCAGGTGCTCCCCACTCACCACGGTCACACCCCTACCACCAAGACCACAACCACTGCCTGTGGGAGCTCGCCGTGCTCCCCTCCAGCCTCACGAGGCATGCATTGTTCATGGTGGTAGGGACAGTTGCACTCTTTTCTTGAGGTACCTCGATGGCCACCCTAATTACAGCGCATTCAGTTTAGTACCTGTTATTACGGCGTAATCGCTGTAATCCCTTTAATCAGTGCTACTGCACATTAGCACAGATAAACACTTTTTGTGTGGTGCTTAATGTACATTGGACTAAATCTAATGCACATTAGTGCATTAGCATGGTTTTTGCCAGCCATGCTAATGAGTAGATTTAGTCCAATGCACATTAAGCGTCTTGTGTAGATGTGCCCGCTGCCTGGGGCATTTCAAAATTAGTGGACATATCTGAAAAGTTAAGACTGAGCCTCTGAGTCGCCATGTACCCAGCAATAAAATGGGGACATTTACTTACATGTTTACTTCATGGACATATTGGAAGGATTCATATTGTTAAATTGCTTCTTTTTTTTTAGACTCTTCCTAACCCTTTTTTTTTTCAAAGGCAGGCAGCCCTTTTGTCTTGCCTGACAGACAACACGGGTCCTGCAGCTTTAGTGGGACATTAGCCAAGTTCAGTTCTAGAAAACTGAAAAAACCACGTGTGTCCACGTATTCTTTCATCCAGTTGCAAACCGGGTTAAAAGGGAGAAGCGAAAAGGAGCGTATTGCGGCCCTGGTGCGTTTACTATTGACAAATAAAGGGGTAACTCTCCGCTGTGGTCAGGAGAAAAAGCAAAACCAAAGCAAACCGGCCAAAGACAGAGGGATTTGGCTGGCAAGGAAGGATGATCCAGATGCTCTACTGTAGTGTTTCTCAGCCAGTGCCACGTATCCCACTGGTGGCACTCGAAGGTCATGTAGGTGGGACTTCAACTCATTGCCCTATCAAAATAAATCAGTTGCTTGCACGTCAAATGGATGAATTAACAGGTATCTTGAACAGTGCAATTATGTGAGGTTTTGTTTTTATCACGGTGGAAGCAAGGGTTTTTGACAAGATGGCTGGTGGGATGCAAGGTGCAAAAGGTTGAGAACCGTTGCTCTACTGTACTTTCTTTGCCTCTTTCGTTTCAGAAAGGGAATCGTGATTGCTGGCAAAGGAAGGAGAGGAAGAAAGGAAGGACTTGGAGGGAGGAAGGGAGTAATTCCGGGGTCCCCTCGGAATGTGGTGACGTCAGTGATGCGTAACCGTTTAGCCCCACGCAGGGGCCTCGCAGACTCCGGGGACTACAACCCCCAGGGTGCTTTGCGAAGCCTTCCGGCTCGAGGCTGCCCTGGCAACCGCCAAGCTGCTGCTGCAGCTTCCCTGGCCGCGCTCCTCTCGCGAGAACTCAATCCCCCACACCCGAATCTCGCCCGCCGCTACCTCTTAGACGGAGCGCATTCAAGTCGTACCCCCAACAACTGTCGCGAGATGTAATCCCCCCCCCAGCTAACCCTGTACCGGTTCCGGCCCCCGTATGAACTTCAAGCCCTCCCCTGCAGCCAGTGAAGGAGTAACTCTCGCGAGATGTCCCGTACTCGCGAGCTGGCTTCCCGGGGAGGAAAGAACTCTCGCGAGCCCTTCACGCCTTGGCTCCCCGGTGGCGAGGGGCAGACCTCTCGCGAGACATCACAACCTCCTTCCCCTCACCCCGGAGGTTCGCTCCGTGCCCGAGGAGGGGAACTCTCGCGAAACTTCCACCCTCCGCCAGCCGGGTTGCGGAAGAAATCTCGCGAGATCTCCTTCGCCGCCATGTCAGCTGCGGGCGAGCGCGAGGGCTTGGCGGTGCTGGAGATGCTGGTGGAGTGGGCGTGGCTGGCGCCGCCGGCGCCCCTCCCCCCTCAGCCGGCTGTGGCGCTGCGCCTGCTCGACTTCCCCACGCTGTTGGTGCTCCCGGGTGGCCGCAGGTTCGAGGCCCCGGGTCGGCGCGTCCCCTTCGGGCGGGGCAAGGCCTGCGTGCTGCCGGGGCTGCCGGGCCCGGCCCCACTCCACGCGCTGCTGTTGGCCCTGCCCACCCAGGGGCCCGGCCCCGCTCGCCTGCTGGGCACTGCTCGTATCCCGCTCGGGCCGGGCCCCGGGGGTGCCCGGGGCTGCTTCGCGCTGCGGGGCCTCCGGGGCGAGCACGTGGGGGAGTTAACACTGGCCTATCAACTCCGCAGCCTGGGGCGGGATCCTGCAGCGCTTAGCCCCGCACTGGGGTCTCCTCACAGAGCTGCCTCGGCACCCTGTGTTGTGCTGCGGGGCAAGGAAGGAGCTGCGGAGGTGGACAAGGAGCCTGGTGATCTCTGCCCCCTGCCGCAGGGCGAGGAAGGAGCTGCGGAGCTGGACAAGGAGACTGGTGATTACTGTCCCCTGCCGCAGAGCGAGGAAGGAGCTGCGGAGCTGGACGAGGAGGCCGGCATTTTCTGCCCCCCACCACTGTACTACAACGCCGATCCCCGGCGCACTGCACCTGTCAGGCCCGTGCCAGCCCCAAAGGAGCGGGAGAAGGAGCTAAGGAGTCCCCTGGCCTCCCGAGCAGTGCCTGGTGCCACCTCGTTGGGGAGCCCCCCAGTGCCGAACATCACCCCGCAGCCACCCAGTGCAGCCCACCAGTTGCGTGAGGCCCTGAGGCAGCTGCCGCTGGTCAATGCTCTGCTGGCAGAGCTGTCGCTGCTGAGTGGCGAGCCGGGGCCTGGCACCATTCACCCCCAGTTGGCCTGGCTCTATCGAGAAGCAGGAGCAAACGGAGAGCCCTTGCGGCCTTCCCTCGAGAGCAAGTCGCCAGCAGGGGAGGTGAAGGAAAAACATCCTCAGCCCAGTGCAAACAGCAGATCATCTAGCCTGAGGTTCAGAAGAAGCTGGCAGAGGTCTTCCCAGTTGGGTGCTCCTTCTTCCTGGCGGCAGAATTGCAAGGAAGCTCCACTGGCAAGGCAGGCTGCCTCTGAGAGAAACAGCGGAAGGAAAGAAAACACACCTCCGCGAAGGAAACTTTTTTACGGGCTGACAAATACGCTGAGACTGCGGTTGCAGCAAACCAATCCTGATATGTTGGTCATTCATGAAAGGAGAGAGGAGTATAGAAAAAAACAAGTGGAGGCACTGAGGGAGAAGAGGGGGAAGGGCCCTGGATCCAAAGGAAAAATGTTCAGAAACTCAGCAGAACAACACGTATTTTACGAGCATCCTGAAAGGGCAGCGGTTTCAAAAAGAAATAGGCTTGATGAAAATACTCGGACTTTAATGCAAAGCAACCTTGAAAACAATTATGAACCCACAGGAAAAGGACACTTTTCTGACCTACAGGAGCATGATCTTGATAGTAGTTTGAAAAATAGTGATGGAAATGCAAGAGAAGGTGGTTCATCTGAAGAAAATGGGGACTCTTCACTGAAAGGAACCACACTGCAATCCAGTTACAAAGAAAAAGATGTACAAGTCCACCTGCCAAGAGCTTTCATGCATCATACTGATGCAGGAGAAGATAAAGTAGGTGAAAAAACAAAACATTTTAGCATAGGCCAGGCCACAGAGGAGGACTTTGCTGCTTTCGTATTAGGTGATGATCATAAACCAAACCCAAACAGGAGTTTTGAAAGTATCTCTGAATTCAAATATTCAGAAGACTTTGTAACCAGTCCTGAGAACACCATCTATTCAGAAGATTTCACCAATGCTGATTATACTGCAAGAGGATCAGAAGCTTTTGAGAGTAGCCCAGAGCCTGTATTACTAAGCCCAAGGCAAACTTGCTCAGAAGTGGATTCAGAATCAAACAAATCAAGAATATCTGGGGAAAGTCTGAGGATGGAGAGCAGGTCAGCTCATGTCCCAGTTCCCTCAACTGCATCACCAGTCCACTCTTTTAAGAGACCCTACCATTTAAAAAACAGAAAAGAAAGCAGAGTTGCAGTTGGGAGTTTATCTAGCAACCTTTCCAGTCCCGCAGAGTCATTACATGAGCAGCAGTCATCCCTACAGTACAAGGAAGAAGGCAGCAAGAGTGATCGAACTCTCCGAGAATCCTTGACGATGAAAGGTAAACAAGGTCGTTCTGATAAGACCTGCAATGTAGGAAAGGGTCAGACCTCTTCAGAAAAGAGCCAGTCACTAAAGACATCTCAAGTTAGTTCTTACCTGCCATCCAATGTGTATGACTTTGAACTTAGTGCATTGGAAAACAGTACATCAGACGAAGAAGAGAATGATGATTTGGGAACGTTAAGTATTACTAATCAATGTAAACACATCAGTGAGCTAGTAGTAAACAAGCTTCCTGGATACACAATGTGATTACCATTAGATGGTCTGCTGGTCAAAATGATGTTAAATCATCGTTTCTGTAAACACTGGCAATTTAAAACTACCGTACAGCACTGGCATTTTATATGAATTTAATAAAATACTGCTTGAGCTCTGTAAGAACATTGCAATGAAATGGTGCATATAACATGTCAATGTTATGAATCCAATTAAAAAAATAAATAAAGCAGCTGAACTATTATTTATTTTTGATTGTAGAAATTAAGATAGAAGCAGTGAGCGTTCCTGGATTATCTAAAAACTTTGTTTCAGGAGGAAGTAACGTGGTGGCATGCAGCTGGTGTGTGTACAGAATGTATTTAACTACTGTTAAAATGTAGCAGTTCATGAACTAGAATTCACCCTCTCCACAAAAATGTCTTGTATGTTTCCAGGAAATAATGTAGGGATCCAAATGCAGCACAACCTGTAATTAGTTGTGACAGGCCACAAGCATTAGCAGCCAGAAGGAACCCTTTATCTGGTCTGTGTAGTACAGGCAATATTACTTGATCCAGTGGTTCTAGTCATCTGTGAACTGAAGCACTGTGTGTCAACCTTTTCAGGTTAGCAATTCCTTAAAGTCAAATTCTTAACCATCTCTTTACATTTACTCTAAAATAGTAACAAATGTTATGGACAGCAATAAACATAATTTTTCTGTGCTGGTTGAGAGAGAGAGAGAATACTTGACCTTGAAGGGTATAGGTGCCGATGAGTTTTAATAAATTTTTAACGCCTCACAACCCCTTGATTGCATTTTGAGATGCTGCCCCTTAAAGGTCATGACCTGCTAGTTGAGAAACACTGGACTGACATGTACATTTCAGAAAGACATCAGATCATGATTTAAAGATTCCAAATGATGGAAAATTTAGCACATCCCTTTGTAATCTGTTCCAGTGATTAGCTGTCTTCATTGTTAAATGTATACTTCATTTTCAGTTTGAATTTGTTTTATTTTTCCCCCTTTTGACTTTCACTTCCAGCCATTGGACCTTACTGTATAATTGACATGTTCAGAAAAAATATATATTTATATTCCTACTCTAAATTTCAAAGGCATTCTTAAGGAAGCAGAACAACAAAAATCACATCTGTCTCTTGTTCTCTTTGATACAGCTCAAAATTGCTGCCTTGGTTTTCAAATCTTTCTTCCCTCCTTTACTGTTCCCTTCCCTTCACTGTATTTTTGTAGGGTGGAAGCAGATTTACCTTTGTGGCAACAATTTTTTTTGGCAGCACAAAGGCCAAACATGTCCATGCCCTTTGTTGTGCCACAAATGCCTGAAATTTGTAGTCACAACATAGGTGGTATCAATTTGTACCTCTTTACTGTGGCTGATGTCTTCTCAGTTTATGGTGGGGGAGCATAGTCAGTTTGGAGCTGCTTCCAGGGACTGAGGGAGCCATTCTTGCATGCCCTGGGAATTCCCTGGGAGTACTTCCCATCTCTTCCCTCTAACAGAGACATCTCCCATGCAGTTTCTGGGTTTTGTTTCTGTAAGCAGGAAACCCCAGCTTTCCCTGTTAGAGACATGCCCTGACGAATCTCCGAGGCATGTCTCTATAAATGAAAATCATGTTGTCTATTGTCCTACAGGATCGCCCAGTGTGGGACAATGTGCAACAATGAAGCAGATCAACTGTAGCAGGACACATCCTACCATAACTTACCTGCTTTATTTGGTGACATCTAGAGGTGCAGACAGAAGTGCAGCTCCCCGCTGTAACAGAATGCTTTGCAGGAAGTGTTCTGAGTTACAAGGATCCCCTGGACCAAACAGAAGTTCACTGTTGGTTCCAGGGGAAGAGGGAAATCTAGCTGCTGGCTGCAGCCTGCCACTATTTTCCCCTAGCAGTAGCCCCTTCTCTCTCCCAGCCTGTCCCTGTTTCAGAATGGGAGGGTGGAAAAGGAGCAGTGGGAGCTCATTCTAGGGGTTCCCCAGCCAGCGCTGGAGGGTGGGATGGGTAAATTGGAGCCTCCCCACCTCAGGGACTGAAAACCTCCCAGACTGAACTCCATTCCCTTTTCCCACTCCCATTGAGAAAACAGTTACAGGCTGGCAGGCAGCACAGGTGGAAATTACAGAAGACATTCTATTTCGAAACGTCTTCATCTGACCCCTCATGCAATGAGGGTTCAGATTTTTACCTTACTGGCTATATTTGAAGCCATCTGAAGCCACACACTTGTGTTTGGTCACGGCTATAAACAGCTTTCTGTGGCCAGATTGGGTGAAAATTGTCCTTTCTATCTGTGCCTCTGTTTATATCCTAAATCTTGGAATAAATTTACAATCCCTTTCCTCAAATCAGGCTTTTATCTGCTTTCTCATTAAGGCTGTCCTTTCTAGAACCTTCTTCCTCTAAAGTGTTACATTACTCTCACCAAGTTTTGCCTAAAGTTTTTTGCTTTATGTTAGCCCACAGTTACCCTCCTCTGAAACACTGTCCTGTTACTGCATGTTTTTATCTTTCATGTAATTAATTCATAGAACTAGCTATTTACATTTCTACAGACTGTATATTTAGTTTTTTCCAACTCTTCATTATTAGTTCCATTTACTTTGGAGTGATGCTACCTTCTACCAAAACCAGTTTGACAAATGTAATGTAGTAAGACTATTTGAATTTCTTACATCAGTATCAGAGCCTAACTGAACAGTAATTTGAAGGCAAGCAGACACACACTTATGCTTCCTGTGCTGAAAGCAATTTCCACTCAGCTGTTTTATGAATAGTTTTTTTAAACTATTGTTTTCATCATTTCACAATTCCAGATGAAAGAACGACCATGGAGCCAGTCTCCCTCATTCCTGAACATTTTGTCAAAATAACCAACCTCACTTGAATCCTGTGTTATATATTTTTTTAAATTATTACTAATGGGTCAAGTTCCATGCAGTGTTCATGGGCAAACCTGCCAGTGAAGTAGAGGCCTGCAGGAGTTGGCCCAACTACTTTTAGTAGATGGAAGGATCTGTGGGTTTTTGTGTTTTTTAATTTAAAACCTCTCTAAAACAAAGTTCTCTTGAGATCTTACACAGTTAAGCACAGATTATGTGTGTAAAGTATTATAAAGTATTCAATGATAGATTGGAATTAAAGACAGAACTTTTGTTTGATTGTTCCTTCATAATTGTTCCATTTATAATGAGATTGAAAAAGGATTCATTCCAACTAATTTTATTTTTTATAACATCTATGAGTTAATTAAATAAATACTGTGGTGTCCAAATATAGCAAGTGATGGAATTACTAGATAGTAATAGTCCCTGTGTTACACATTTTCTAAGGAGGAGAAATACCTGCAAGAAAATAGAATTAATTTAAGAAGTCATTTTTTTAAAGATACGTTTTTACATAAAATCCAGCTAGGAAGTACAGCAGAGGAAAGGAGGCTTACACCTTCAGCCTAATTTTTAACCTTCAGAATAACAGTTTAAGCAAGTGAAGACTGGATATGAGCTATGCCATTGTTATAAAGAATATGGTCTTATATGTAATTGAACAATCCTCCGTTAAAAGAACTAGGGAAGGATTTAGTTATATTAGTATGATATTTAGGATCCATGAAGCCATCACATTTCTAACACATTTTATTAAAACAACATTTTTCTGTATTTCTACAGAACAAAAATAATGATTTTATAGCTATTTTTTATGTAAGGACACCTGAGAATTTATCGGAATTACCTTGCATGAATCATACATTATACCACCTCAGCCTGGGTATACTAATTTAGGTAGTTTCTCAGTGGGCACATCTACATGTTCATTAATGCACCTTTGCTACTGTGCATTATGTGTAGTACCTGTAATATGAGCAATACATAGAGGCTTATTAGCTGCACTAATGTACAGTAGCAAAAGTGAACTTTTTTGTTCACTAACACATTAGCATGTTTTTTTTGCACTGCTTTAATGCACAGTAGACTACTTACTGTGTATTAAAGTGCACGTATAGACACACCTAGTTATATTTACAAATTGTATCATCTGCAATTTTGACCAACTTAGGTAATAACATAAGTTATAGATCTCTATAACTGTACTTGTCTAGAGGAAAAGGCAATCAGGACTCGTAGCAGAGATGATATCTTTTATAAGGCCAACACAATTTTTGCAAAAAAAAATATTTAAATGTCAAGCTTTTGGGCACAAACAGCCCTTCACAGGACTCTTGATCCTGATTCATACCAGCTATGAGCTGACTTCCCAAAGGAGTTTTCCATCTATTGACTCCTCTGTGAAATCCTATGAAATATAATTGTTCATTTCTACCTAGGAGAACTTTTACAATCTTTTCTCCAATGCCTGATGAAGGGTGTTTGTGCCTGAAAGCTTGCAATTAAAGAATTTTTTTTGCAAAAATCTTGTTGGTCTAATAAAAGATATTATCTCTACTATGAATCCTGATTGCCTTTTAACTGTACTTGCAACTTAAACTTCTTAAGCTAGTTTTCCTCAGTGAATGATTTTTAAAAAGTTAAGACCCAGGTGCAGAGAAATAAGAGGAAGAGCAAGGCATCTCCATAAAAGCTGACTACATTAACATCCACTAAACTTGGGTGGAAGGTGGTTTATAGGATGCCCCCTATGGAGAGCCTGGCATTTTAATGAAGGGGAGAAAGCAAGCAGAGCTATCCCCTTCTGCCCTTCTCTTCGTTGACCAAGGAGCCTGCTGCTAAGAAGAAATAGTGATAGAGATTTAGCAGCAGTCTGTCATGCACCTGCAGGCTGTCTCTGGCATTTTCTCCAGTTTGGTTCTGTGCTGCCTTCATGCCTGTGAAAGGTCTAATCTAGCGCATAGTCAACTCAGCGCATGTGAAAAGATTCTGTCTGACATCCCTGAAGACTTTCAGATGGTATACAGGTTATATAAGAATATATACAGCATACATAATAACTTCTGAACTCTGTACCACCAATGCAAACTTGAAAGGGCAAGCCTCTGTGGGTGAAAAAATTCCTTTTGAAGTTTATTCAATTTTCATTTTCAGTCCAGATTGCTAAAACAATTGCCAATTAGTTCTCATTGTGATGTACAGAGTGGTCCATTGGCAACTACTCTAAAACCAAACCTGTTTCTTAAATGACACAACCGTCCACCTAATGTTTTTTACATCACTGCCATTTAAGTTGAGTTCATATCAGCAACTTGAAGGCTGTGTAAACTCTTTGAAACCTATAGTCTCTGACATGGATGTCAATAGTCTACAAGGAGCTGCAAATGGCTCACATTTGCTTGCTGTTGGGGATTCTTTAAATAGTTCCTGGACAACATTTGGTTGATAGGCATCCAGAGGTGGATTACTGGACAGCATTTGGCCAGTGGCCAATCAGGTACAAGTTGCTGGACAGCAGAGCGAGCCACTAGGATATAAAGCTTTTCTGATGGGAGAGAGGGGAGATTGGGTTAGAGCACTTGGTTTCCTCCAGGAAAGATGTTAGGGCCTGTTAGGTTCCCTGGCTGGGTGAGGTAAGCCTACACAGAACACAGGTAGATAATGAGCTGTCAGGCATTAGTGTTAATTACCCATTATCTGTCTTTTTTCTTACTTTGTTACCAACATAATAAAGTGGAGCCTGAAAGAAAGCCCTCTGACTCAGAATACTGTGCTGAGAATCTATAAAGTTCCAGAAAATCTGGCAGCAGTCTCTGTTAAACTTATTTTTAATTGCTTAATAGATCAATACTGTACAACTAAGTTAAAAGGTAAAGAGCAACATAAAAACAAAACACTTAAGAACTGCCTATCGCCCAGCTTTCACTGTCCTTTAAAGCTTTAACATAAAGCCTCAATACTCTAATTGACATAAGATTTAGTTGACCCACAAACCCGAGTCTCTTAGGATCACTCCTCTATCATGTAGTTACTTTAAACGTTCAAACTTTGTATTTAGCATGTATTGGTGTATATTTTATATAGCAAAATGAAACTCCTGTCCATTAAAAAAATAACTAAAATTGCTGA